ATAGACTAGTCTTAGCTCTAATCACCTTCTCTGCTGGATGACTTGAATACTTCTATCTCTGGGCCTTCTTGTCTCTAAAATGAATAGTGTTAACGTTGACCGAGTAATAATAGTAACAACAGTAGCCAGTGGTTGTCTGGTATCGACTCTGTACTAGGGATGATTCCAAGTCATTCACTGGGGCTGCACACTCCTCTATAGAGGCAGGTGATTAGTCCACGTAGGTGTGACAAGACAGACCCTGCTATCCCTGATGGGTAAGAGGTCTAAGATACCAAGTAGAGATGGATCAGGGACTTGACTCAGATCCGTCTCCATCCTGGCCCCTGTTGTTGCACAAGCAGGTGCAGAGATACCAGGTACTCCTATCGCTGATGCTCTCCAGCCAGACCAAAGACCAGGTAACAGCGGGTGCCATGCAGCGCCTACGGGCCCGGGGCTTGACCGTGGAAAACATCCTGCAGATGGAAGACGACATGCTGGGCAGGCTCATCTACCCTGTGGGCTTCTGGAGGGTAAGCCTTATGTATGCTTGGCAGCAGAGCCACGAGGGGGCAGTGGTCCAGAGATGGCGGACAGGCCATTTCTGACTACAGAGGCCTTTCGTGCTTCTGCCCTGCCAGGAGTCTATACCGTGGGGCTAGTTCCCAGTCCCTGAGGCTTTTGGGATTTTCCTGTTTACATCTCTACATTCCTCTATCCTCCCACCTAGCTGCCTGCCCTTGCCCTTCTCCCCTTCCCCTCCTGGGCTCCCTGCAGTGCACCACTCCAAAGAGGCTGCCCCCCCTACTTCACAGAACCCAGGGTGGTGGGTGGATCTGTTGAAAGCAGCTCCGTGGGTGGGGCTGCTTCCCCTTGGCACCATGTGGGCCACGTCTATCAGATTGGTTTTAAATAGCCCTCTCCACTCAAGCACAGGATGGGAACCACCCAGCTGGTCTGGTAGTTGCTTGGGGGAGCCCCAGACTCCAGCCTTCCTTCCTGAAGGTCCAGGTGCTACTGAATCTAGGTCCTAGGGAGAGAATGCTGAGGCAGGGGACCCAAGCTGGTTCCCACACATGTCATTGGCTCACATGAATGGGAGGAAGTTCTAGGCATGTGCTGGAGCCCTACTAGGGGCTCCTTCAGCCCTCTTTGCTGCTTTTGGTTCCTCACCTCCTGGAGAGGTGGGGCAGGTAGATATCTCTACATGGGACAAGGGCAAGTGTTGGGCAACTCTGGGTACCCATGGGTCCTCCCCGATTAAGCTGTGCCTCACCCCAAGGCTGACCCACACTATCTTTCAGAACAAGGTCAAGTTCATCAAGCAGACAACCGCCATCCTGCAGCAGCGCTATGAAGGGGACATCCCTGCGTCCGTGGCAGAGCTAGTAGCCTTGCCAGGTGTTGGACCCAAGATGGCACATTTGGCCATGGCTGTGGCCTGGGGGACTGTATCAGGCATAGGTGAGTGGCTTGTGCCTCACAGAGGGAGAAGTTAACTCTGAGCTTGCTTGCCTCTGTTGGGGGTTCCCCAATTTTTTTTTAGTTAAACCAGAATATCAAAAGGGTGTTCTCAGGGGCTGGAGATATGGCTCAGAGGTTAAGAGCACTGACTCTTCTTCCAGAGGTTCTGAGTTCAATTCCCAGCAACCACATGATGGCTCACAGCCATCTGTAATGAGATCTAGTGCCCTCTTCTGGCCTGCAGGGACACATGCAAGTAGAATGCTGTATACATAATTAATAAATAAATCTTTGAAAAAAGAAAAAGAAAAAAGCCAAAAGACTAAGAAGTATTTAAAAAAAAAAAAAGGGTGTTCTCAGTGCTGAGCAAACCAGCCTGCTCTCAGCAGGACACTGATGACAAGAACTCTCACACTTGCTGGTCTCTGAGGGACCTGGAAGCCATGCGGTTGCCACATACTGCAGAGTCAGTGGAGAGTGTTTCACCTGTGGGGAGGAGGCTTCTCGGTGGTTGGGTAGTGTGACAGCCCCGGGGAACCTGACCTGGGCTCAAGGGATCTGGGGAGCCTTTTGTATTCATTGCTGTTGTTATTGTCTGTTTTGGTTTGGTTTTTTATTTTGGTTTGTTTGTTTGAATTTTGGTTTGGTTTTTGGTTTTGGTTTTTCTAGGCAGGGGCTTTCTGTGTGGCCCTGGCTGTCCTGGAACTCACTCTGTAGACCAGGCTGGCCTCAAACTTACAGAGATCCTCCTGCCTCTGCCTCCTGAGTGCTGGGATTAAAGGCGTGCTCCACCACTCTCAGCGCCTACCTCGGTTTCTTAAATCCTGGGATAATAATCATGCACCACTGTGCCAAACTCCAGGAAATCTTTCTGAAGTTACGCTCCAGTTTAGAGCTTCTGGTGAGTTAGCCAGGCCAGGAGGTACAAGTATGTCCCAGGCAGAAGGAATAGCAGACATAAAGCTGGGAAACAAAACAGGAAACTCTAGAATGGGGGCGGCAAATCGAGGCAGAGGCTGAGGCGGTGGTGGAGGAGGAGGAGGAGGGTCATTTCTGGATTATCATTGTCTAGCATTTGAAGCACCTCTGCGTAGCTAGGTTGAAGACATACTCCCTGGGGCAGGGACAGACATGCTGCCTTCTCAGAACTTTGTCCAGAGTGGTCGGGGTTCCTGTGGTCACACAGAAACCAAGATTCAGCCCTGACTTCTCTCTGGGCCCCCAACCCCTGGCTCCTGCATGTGCCTGGTGGATGTGTTCCTTCAGCCCATCTCTAAACCTGTGGCGTGGTAGCCCTGCCCACTGGGTAGAGGGCAGCTAGGGGCCCAGGACTTTGACTAGGAGCTGGTGACCACCTGTTGAGCCTGGAGAACAGCAAACCTTGGAAGAGCCTGACAGGAGGAAGTGGGCGAGGCCTCCCACCTAGGCAGCAGCCTCTTAGTCGACACTTGAGCTTATCTGTCCTCTGTCCTCAGCTGGCTGTGTCCTGGGAGCTGTGGTGGGTGGCTGTGTGGGGGAAGGGCCCTTCAGGGAACTGTGCTTCCAGCGGACAGGGCAGTATCTGAACGCCACCCACTTCTCTGTAGTCTGAGGGCCTGGTTACCTTCAGTGAGACCCCAGGGTTGCCTGCCAGGGAGAAAAGATACCCCCTCCACTGAAAAGCTAGAACTGTGGCACTCTGACCCTTGCAGCTGGGTGACCTTAGGTCACATACTTGACCTTTCTGAACTTGAGTTCACAGCCAGTGACCTAATCGCCCTCCTTAACAACACAAATGTGTCGGAAGCCCCTCCGCCCAGCGTAGGAGGCTCATACATGACTTGGTCCTGGATTGGGCCTCTGGGGTTCTGAGTAATATGTTACTTACAGAGAAGGAAACTGAGGCTTAAAGCTTCCATCATGTGACTCCGCACCCCCCCTCCCCCCAGCCTGCACCCAAGCCTTTTCCCAGGCAGTAAGCAAGTCAGGACTTGGAGACTGGCTAATGTTTGACAAACCTTGGGAAAGGCAGGGCAGGCACTGCAGTTGACTGGGTGGCTTGGCAGGCAGCCCCAGCGAAGGGATAAGGCTGAATCCCTGCAATGGGCAGCTGATAGGAGCGCAGCTAGATCCAGCCTGACCCTGCTCTCCACTCTGTCCCCAAGAGCTGTAGTAGCAGGTGCCAGGCAGCTCTGTGACAGTGACCTCAGGCCAGCCCCCTGGGCCGAGCTGCTGCCACCCAGCCCGGTGCTCACATCTAGTGGATGGGCTGGTGGGGGTGCTTAGGACCCCAGAAGATGGCAGAGGAGGCCAAGCAAGACCCTCCCTGATCCAGGCCCCATTCTTGAAGGGGCTTTGGATCAAGAGTACACACTTTAGGGGTTGGGTTTTTTGTTTTTCCCAGGATAGGGAGTTGCATTTTTGTAAGAGAGTCTTCTCTGTAGCCCAAGCTACCCTTGAACTCAGAGCAATTCTACTTCAACCTTTCAAGTGCTGGGTTACAGATAGGAACCACTACGCCTGCCTCACACTGTTGGTTTGGTTGCTGTTGGTTTGGTGTGGCTTGGTTTTTGGTTTTTTGAAACAGGACTTCTCTGTGTAGCTCTGGCTGCCTGATACTTGTTCTGTAGACCAGGCTGGCCTCGAACTCACAGAAATCCAGTCCTGGGATTAAAGGTGTGTGTCACCTACCTGCTGCCTCACACTCTTGACTGTTTTGTTTTGAAACAGGGTTTCTCTGTGTAGCCCTGGCCTTTGTAGAACAGGCTGGGCTTTGAACAGAGAGATCCACCTGCAAGCCTTTAATCCCAGCCCTCAGGAGGCAGAGGCAAGTGTATATCTCAGAGTTTGAGGCAACCTGGGTCTACATAGTGAGTTCCAGGATAGTTGGGGCCATGAAGAGACCCTGTCTCAAAAAAAAAAAAAAAAAANAAAAAAAAAAAAAAAAAAAAAAAAAAAAAAAAAAAAAAAAAAAAGCTGCCTGCACCCCAGGTTGATGGCTCAGACTCAGCCAGCTCTACTGATGCACTTCCTTCTTTAAGGCTCCATCCATCTTGTTTAGAGGTCCAAGTGAGAGAGGCCCTGGGCTCTTGCTTAGGACTGGAGATAGGGACGGGGTACAGTCCAGCTGGCAGAATGCCCTTGTTCACCCTGCCCTGTCCCCAAGCAGCGGTGGACACACATGTACACAGAATCGCCAACCGACTGAGGTGGACCAAGAAGGTGACCAAGACCCCAGAGGCGACGCGCACAGCCTTGGAGGAGTGGCTACCCAGGTACAGTATAGCTGGATGAGGCTGGAGGAGGGAGTGGCCCTGCCGACTGCCACACTGACCTGTCTCTAACCCTCACAGGGGGCTGTGGAGTGAGATCAATGGACTGCTGGTGGGCTTCGGCCAACAGATTTGCCTTCCTGTCCATCCTCAATGCCAGGCCTGCCTCAACCGGGCCCTGTGTCCTGCTGCCCAGAACCTTTGAGTCCCAGGGCTTCCTCTGGCCAGTGTCTGTGAAGTGCCTTTGTGTGTGGGGCGGGTGAAGTTTGGGGGTCTGCAGGGCGTGTAATAAAGCTGGGAGGTTATTCACACTTGACCTCTAGCGCAGTTGATTTAGGATCGGGCCAAGAAGCACAAGCATGAACGCGGTGTGTGCACGGCATTCACAAGTCAGGGGCAGGACTGCCTGGGAGGCTGTGTGGGGACATAGTGTATCCTGGGGAGTGGGGGAGGGAGGGAGGGAAGAGCATGGGGAGTGTAAACCCAGGAGGGAGGAAACAGAGCCAGCTGCAGCCAGCTGCTGGGAAGCCTGCAGGGGGTGGGGGGTGTCCTTGTGAACTCTCACACTCTGTCCTGCAGCCCCAGCACTTCCCTGAACCTTCTAGCTTCTGAACTTGTGCTCAGCCTGTGCCAGGAACCCACCCCCATGTTAACAGAACTCTAGAGACCTAGACTCTGGGCTGCTGGATGCAGGCTTAACAGGACAGGTCTTGAAGGAGGAGAGGATGGTGTCATTCCTCACCTAAGGGTCTTTTGGAAGGGGCCCTGCCCCTCAACTGAAGACTCAGAAAAGACACAGGCGCCAGAGTCCAAGGCAAGGCCTGTTTAATTTGAGGGTGCGCACGTGCGCTATGGCTTACGAGGCAGATTGCGGTGCCAATGAGTGAGTCTGGGCATTGAAAGCACTGAGGAAAGGGCAGAGGGCAAGGGCCAGGCCCACCATCTCCGGGGTCCGGGCTGCAGAGCAGGACAGGGGTGGGTGGTCCGGAGCTCCCCTCTCGCAGACAGGGAACCGCCATCCCTGGTCCCTCAGAGAACCGAGACTTTGCATTCCAGAACCCGGCACGTGGGAGGCAGCGCAGGAGTAGCCAGGCAGAGGAGAGAGGCCTGGCCCGGGGACCATCCCTCACTAGGGAAGCTCCTACAGACACAGCTGGCCCCGCGGGCCTGCCCCTGGCTATCTGTCCCCCTGGAGTCCCTGGCCTCTGCTCTGGATGGTGCTGCTGACAGGGTGGGTAAGAAAGGGTTTGCAGAGAAAGGTTCGTTTTATTGCAATTATTTAGAGAGTGAGTCCCAAGAGGGTGGGGGAGGGGGGCTCCACTATTAACTAGAAACATGTGGAGCTGGAGACCTTTCAGGAAAAAAAGCGAAAACATGAATTCCTTTCAGTCAGCAGGCCCGAGGCAAACAGCAAAGGCCCTTGGCAAACCACCATTCATAGCTCCTCCCTTTCTCACTGTGTCTCTGTCTCTCTGTCAGTCTTTCTGCCTGTCTGTCTGTCTCTGTCTCTCTCACACATTTCTGGGTTTCTCTCTTCCCTCATCTCACTATGACAGCCGCAGCACCCAGTGGACAAGACAAGGGTTCATGGGGTCATGGGTCCAGTCTGCTGAGGCTTGGGGAGCTCTGGAAAGGCCCAAGGTCCGTGCAGGAAGAGACCCTGGGGCCCCTGGACAGGCAGAGAGGGGCTCAGAAGTTGCTGAAGATCTCTCGCTTCCGGTTCCAGTCCATCTGTGGTGCCCGCTTGTTGACCCGGGTAGCTCGAGCCTTCTCCTTGGCTTCAGCTGCTGTGGGACTCAGGTGGAGGCCACTCTCCTGGAAAGGGTCTCGCTTCCAGGCATTGCCATCCTGGGTACAGGTAAGGTGCAGACAGTGAGCCATATCCCTGGCAGCTGCCTCCCCAAGGAACTTACACCAGAGGCCACCTCAAGGCCTAGGACAGCCAGCCCAAGAGGGTTCTTGGAAACAGTAGTACCACTGTCCTGGTAGGTATTTCCACAGAGATTAACTCCTAAGCCTCTGAAACCCCACGTGTGAACACCGCAGCAGAGTTACCTCATTGTCCTTCTCTGAGCCTGGCAGGTCACTTCGGGATGAGCACATGGAGCCACCATTGAGCTGGGTAGGAAACCAAGGGTAGGTTGTGGTTTCAGCGTCCCCATCCTGGTGCACCTAGATCTGCACACGTGCTCACATGCACACGCTCTCATGCACACACGTGCAGGCACGGTTCACTTTGAGCACAGCACAGCTGCATCTCATCTGTCCCTTGTTCAGCAGTGAGCATCACACATCTCCCGCTGCCTGGGCCAGAGCGTAACTGGTGCCTCACAGCGAACAGATGAGCCCGATCTGGCCAGCCATGATGGGGAAGAGCAGCTGCGGCAATGGGAATTAGCTATGTGAGTGTCACCTGATGTCAAGCTAGGGCCAGCGTCCCAAGGTCAGAACTGAAGACGACTCAGTCACGTTGGAACAAAGCATGGAAGGGTGGCCTAGGGCCCAAGGTGCCCTCCCACCCTGTGTGAGCCCCAGCACTGACCCCATATAGGATCCACAGTGGGTGTTTGTTTTGAGACAAAGTCTCTATGTAGCCCTGGCTATCCTGGAACTTGCCATGTGGAGCAGGCTGACCTCAAAACTCGCAAGTGCAGGGATTGATGGTATATACCATCATGACTGGCTAGCACAGTGGTATTTCTGAGGTGACCAGTCAGATAGGTTTCACAACTGTACATCCTCAAGGGCAGAGCTCTCCAGGACACACACCCTTTATCATGTCTGGGGATGCGGAGGTGGAGGCACACTTGGGGTTGCATGGGCCCACCCTCTCACCTGGGCAGGACTGGTCCCGTTTGTGACTGGTGATGGCAGTGGACCTGTGGGGACAGCACGTTAGTGACTGCATTGAGCCTACCCTGTGCCCCTAAGGTAGTAGCCTACCTTCCACATGCTCCTCAGTGGGTATGACCCGCAACCGCTTGAAGTGTTCATCAGTCTCTGGATCTACCACCAGCAACCGGGCCTCATCCTCCCGGGCCTTGATTCTGGCAACAACTTCAGCATGGCGCAGCCCCTCCACATTCTGCCCATTCACCTGCCACCACCCACACAGGGTCAGAAAGGCCTGAGGGGCCCAGTCGGCCCAATGCCACCCAGCCAGGTGTGCCATCAAATATTCATCGAAGCCACCACCAGCCGAGGCAGCAAGAGGAGGTGCCAGCTCAAGTTCCCTGCATCTCCCCTCCTCCTGCAGGGACCCAGAGCCCAGACGTGGACACTCGGGGACACACAAATACACAGCAACCCAGGGTACCTCAATGAGCCGGTCCTGGGCACGGAGGCCAGAGTGGGAAGCAGGCGAGCCCGGGTCCACAGAGCGGATGTACTGACCAGGGCGGGACTTGTCACTATGCAGGTTGAACCCGTAGCCTTGGGGTCCCTTTCGCAAGTGGCAGAGCCGGGGACGCAGCTCCCTTGGGGGCCCATTGACATCCTGTAGACACATAGGAGGTGACATCAGGCTCTGCCCCAGCCTCCCAGCCCGGTGCTCTCAGGAACCAACCCCAGGTTTCACTGATAGATACTCTATGTGCCCCATGACCAAGGAGCTTAGTAAGCAGTCTGTAATATAGCTTTAGTTGTGTGGGGGTTTAGTGACAAAGCCTATTGCCAAACATGTAAACCTCTAGTGAGATAGTTGCTGAGAAACCATGGAAGAATTCACAGGGGTCACAGCACAGCTTGAGGAACCAGATGGGATACCGGGCCCCCATCACAGGAGCAAGACTGTGCCTTCAGGCTGCACCTCCCCCTCCTCCTCTGCCTCCCTTCCCTAGGGCTGGTGCCTTGGAGGCCTGAGCAGCTTTGTTTTCTCCCGAAGGCCACCAAGAGGCTTCCTGGGCTGTGTGGCAGCTGCTTGCTTTTGAATTCCAACACTAACTGGAACCACTGCCCCCACCTCATGGGCCCAGGAAAAAGAGGCTTCAATGCTTCCTAGCCCACAACACGGAAGGGCTCGTGGTACCCACAGGGAGCCCCCACCACTGCCCCAGACTGCCTTGATTTACCTCTGGCATCCTGCAGAAGATCTCTGGGCCAGGAAGCTATCAGGCAGGGGCCAGCCTTTTGACCCCCTACCCCAGCCAGGGGCCAAGCCAGAGACAGTTGCTGAATGGCCAGCGGCTGCCGGTGCCCAATTACACAGGGCCAGTGGCCGGGGTGGGCAGTCAGGTGGCAGCTCAGGTTTCTAGGTGTGTGTGCAGGTGACAATGTGCTGACTGGGGGTACTTCCCTCCCCGTCCACCACTACCCCTGCCCCTGCTGTCTAAGAGACCACAGAGCAGGGTCCTTCAGGCCTCACAGCAGAGCTATAAATCCCAGGCACCTGTCTCCCCTAACCCAGAATACCTCTGACTATTCCAGCTGCCCACTATACCTCCCTTTTTAGTGTTCTGGTGAGAAGGTCCCACGATGTAACCCAGACTAGCCTCAAACTCAAAGTCATCTTTTGTTTTAGCTTCTGAGTTCCAGAATTACAGGCATATGCCACCATGCCTAGCTCCAAACCCTAAATGTGGTGTTGGTCGTGTCCCTGGGTAGCAGCCAGCCGCAGGAGTAAGTACATCCTTCTATGCAGGGCTACTCCTGGCTTTAGAATTCTGGGATGTCCCCTCAACCTGGACACCCCCTCTTTGTCTAGCCTGCACTCAGGACCCCTTCCTTGACCCCAAAGCCCAGCTGGAGTCTCCTGGGACCCCTTGCTGCACAGCCACCATCTGCCTCATTACACCTAAGAATCACAGAGGTTAAATGTTCTCTAGTCCCCTGGGGGCTCGGCAGGATAATGTTGGCTGAATTCAGGGTTATAAGGCCTCCGAGATCTTCAGAGCCCCACTGCATAGATCTGTCAGCGGACACAGCTGAATGTACAAGGGCTTTGGGGCAAGGCCCTGATGGCCCCTGACAGAGGGACCTGTTAAAGCACCCTGGGACAGCCAGAGACTAGTTCACAGGGGAAGAGAGACTGGAGCGGAGAGCATCAACACAGTGCGAGGGACTGTGTGGCCACTCCTGGCACGATGTCATGTCCTAGGAGGCAGGCCCACATCATGTGGCCAGAGAGACAAGACATCCAAGCTTATACTTATAAACAAGCAACACAGACACACACAGCCGCCCACACATGCAAGTTATGCCCATGGCACTGGTCCCTGTGGCCTCTTCCCACGGCCTCTGTGGTAGCCTGCAAGGCAGGGTTTCTTGGGGCTCCCCAATGGGAAGTAGGTCTTGGCAAGCTATTGTGATCATGGAACT